GGACACAGTTGTGGTGGCACTTTGGGGCCACCAACACATCTCAAGGTCCCTGATGCCCTGTGTCCCCTCCCCAGAGAGCTACGAGCTCTGGTCATCGAGATGGTCTTGGCCACCGACATGTCCTGCCACTTCCAGCAGGTGAAGTCCATGAAGACAGCTCTGCAGCAACTGGAGAGGTGAGTTGGGAGAGGTCCCAGGTGGGTGACAGAGAAGGGTTTGGGGACAATGCCAACGTCATCGTCCCTTGGGCAGGATCGACAAGTCCAAGGTGCTGTCGCTGCTGCTGCACGCGGCCGACATCAGCCACCCCACCAAGCAGTGGGCAGTGCACAGCCGCTGGACCAAGGCCCTGATGGAGGAGTTCTTCCGCCAGGTAGGGCTTGGGGACACCTGTGGGGACACTGTCCCCTCCCCTTGGGGACATCACCTTTCTCCTTGCCTTGCCAGGGGGACAAAGAAGCCGAGTTGGGTTTGCCTTTCTCGCCCCTCTGCGACCGAACCTCTACGCTGGTGGCACAGTCCCAGATTGGTGAGTCTTGAGGGTTTGTTGGGGTCAATTTGGTGTTGAGCTTGTCCCCACCTTGTCCCCAAGGGTGTCCCCGGTGCCACCATGTCCTCTCCCCACCTCAGGCTTCATTGACTTCATCGTGGAACCGACTTTCTCGGTGCTGACCGACGTGGCTGAGAAGATGGTGATGCCCCTGGCTGAGGATGGCACCAAAGACAAGGCCAACCCTGGGGCCACCACCCAACAGCCCAGGTGAGCTTCTCCTTCCCCCGTGGAGGTGGCACAGCCGTGTCTGGGGACAGGGCAGGTGGCACCGGTGGCTCTGTCCGTGCAGCTCGCAGTGGAGACAGACGTCCCTGGATGAGCACCTGGAGCTTGGGGACATCAAGGCTGACCTGGCAGGATTCCGTGCCACGTGGGCCAAGTACATCCAGGAGAACAAGCAGAAGTGGAAGGAGAGGGCAGCGAGTGGTAGGTGATGGTCACCAGGGCTACCAC